TTCTTAATCTAGGTCCTCCACACGGGCAGGGGCCTCCCTTTTTTCTGGGTTTTGGCACTGGCCACAAGTTTAAACAAGGCAAGGTAAAGGAAGTAGTGCGGCAGTCACTTACCTCCTCCACAGACACAGGCAAAATAACACGACTGCAAGAGAACAGAAAAAAGGGAAATTCACTCGGGGCCTGGAAGCAGGATGATCTAAACAGGGGTCGCAGCAGCTCAGAGTCCCACTGGAATCCCAGGGGCCCAGGTTGAGCTATCCCCCACAGTGCCCCCACTGAATCCTTGCCAAGCTAAGGGGGTGTCTTTGCTGCTTGGAGCAACTCATTCATGGATTTCTAAAAGCGAACATTGCCTGTTCTCATAAAGCACACCCTTTGTGGACCCTAGAGGCACAGCAATAGCCTTTCTCCCAGGCCGATTCACAAGCAGAAGGGAAAGCTGAATGCTGAATGAATGCTTGGCAGGACACATGGAAAGGTGGGACAGAGTGCCAAGGCAGCCAGAGAGGGAGCGAGAACACACCACTGGCGTGAGTTGAGTGTGGCACAGATGGACAAGCTCTACCGTAGCAAGACAGCCTGTCAGAAACCTGCCAAAGAGCAGCCTGCAGAGAACACACAACCAACTCTTACAGTCAACCCCCTAAGGGTGTTTAGCATATGAACCCGGAAATAAAGAAATCTGCCTTTCAGATGTTATACCTATAATTTTACAAATACAGGCTCCAAAGAAGATGACAGATACATTCTTAAACAGAGTTTTACATATTCCTATCAAAACACATCAATATCTTCCAGAGCTTAGAAAAAGCTGCAAGCCAAACCAACAGACTGCAGGAAAGCAGTGCGGCGACTCAGGGGAACAACTACGAAAGGGTCAAAAAGGCAGGCTGGCGGTTGCCCACCAACCCAACAGCAACTTCACGTGCTCTGGGTTCAGCACTGGAGGCACCCACAAAGGATGCCAATAGAGTGTCCTTCCCCAGATTTCTGCCATCTGTTGGATTACATCTCCCATCATCCCACATATTGAGGGAAACCTGCTCCAGAGACACCTCTGCGCTTGCCATCTACACAGCCACAATGGTCCAGGAAGAGCGGCGCTGCCAAAACAACAATTGCTTTGGCCCAAGGTCATGGGTTCCTCTCAAGGATGAGAACTGCCCGACCAGATGGGAGCAAATCCCAACCCAAAACCGATCCTATGAAAGCATGTCTTCAGCCAGAGAGAGAGGAAAGCCCCCAGGAAGTGCCCCTAAGGAAGTCCAGGAGGACGTAGTTGCCCAGCAAGTTGAGCAAAGTGGACAGCAAAACAGGAAATGGGGTGCATTGTCTGTTTTCTATTATTGGCTCCCCAAGAACCAGTATCAAAGGTTTTCTAGCCCTGCGGTCAGTTTGGACAGCCAGCCAGTCTACTCTCAGTTATAATAAAGAAAAAACACTCGGGGGAAAAAACAGTGTCTGCTGAAGATAGCTCAACAGAGCACCTAATAAGATGAATTCTTCTAGAACACAAACTAATATAGGTTTCTATCTGCAAAAAGTCAAGAAATCCTTACAAATCCTTAACCAGGAAATCTCAGTTCATTGTCCAGTGAACTCTCAAAATATACAATACAGGGAACCAGAGTCTTGTCTGGAAGAACTGAACTATGGGTAACCTACCACCACCTGTCAATCAAACTGAGAAATAAGCAAAGGGGTAAAATCAGCAGTCCATCCCATGCGCCTGTTTTCAAACCGGCTCTTTCAAAATGAAGCCTGCAACAGACCATGATCAGAAGCTACTTCCATAACTGATTGGACTCTGGAACCTAATGCAGCCAGTCACAAATGGCTCATTTTCCATAAGGCCGGTGCTGGTGATCCAACCATGTTTTAAGAACTCCAAAACCAACATGCAGGACAAATATATATTAAGCTACTCAAGGGTAGAACATCTTGGAGTTTCAGAGAACACCTGACACTGCAGAAAGGGCAATGCTCTTCCTGCTACAGGCAGGAATTTAGGGGGTTCTCAAAAAGGGAGGTGGTGGGGAGGAGCTACTTCTCCATTTTGCATCGTGGATCATGCAGAATACTGCAAGATGTGTGGCATAAGTTTAATTTTGCAGAGGTCAAGAAGGGAGCCACAGCGGCTTCTTCCAGGATCTTGGCAGCTTTTCCAGAAGCTCCTGTCAGCATCTTTGGAAGCCAGAGAAAGACAGAGAGACTGAGCAAGGGCATTCCATGAGCAGCCCAAGTGGAGCTCCAGGACGCTGCAAGCGCAGGACGGTGGTCCTGCTCGGCAGGGCCCATCCGGGGAGGCGAAAGCGAAGCCGCCTGTCGGGGCTCTGGTGGGTGCGCCCTGCTAAGGACTGTCTCGGCCCGAGCCCGGCGCCCCCCTCGGGCGGGTAGCGCGACGAACCCCCGCACGGACGCAGCCCAAGGGCAACCGGCCTCGCTCCACTGGCCCTTCCCGGGGCGGGGAGCCCGCTGGCCGCTCCCCGCGCCGCCGCCCCCCCTGGCCCCAGACCCGGCGCGGAAGGGGGGAGGCGAGGACGAGCCGCAGCGCCGGGAGGGAGGCGCCGCGCGGGCCCCGTGCACGCGTGCGAGGCGGCGCTGCGGCCGCTCCCCGAGGCGCCCGGCGCGAGGCGGCGCGGGCCGCCGTGACCTTC